GCAAATCTTCTCACAGGATTAGAAGAGAAAGTAAACAGCAGTCCAACCTTAAGATCTTTTTTCTTTTTAGAGGCAGCCTGTTGTATAAATCTGAAATAGAAACTGTTTTCATTTGAAGATCAAATAGAAGTTATCTAGTGAAGATGACAAACAGGGCAGTATAATCTGTTTGCATATTTGGGAAAAGGATAGCTCTGGTTTTGTTTCAAGGCAAGGAACTTTTAAATAATATTTAACGAAATAATTGACCTTGATGTTTAAACTACAACTTCCTTCATGTCATTAAGCTCATTGTTTTTTTAAAAAAATGTTTAGTATCTGAACTCTGGCGTTCATTCTGCTAATCTCATAATAACATTGGTTTCATGTGGAATTTTGTTTGATGAACTCATTGGTGAAAAAGAAGAGAAAGAGTTCAGAACAACTCAAGCTTTATAGCTCATTTATATTTTTTATCCCTGAAAAAATACCAAAAACACCCTTATGCAGAATGACTTTTCAGGAACAATTTTTCAGATGGATGGATCAAGAAGAAACTTTCTACAGCTGAACCATAAGCCTTGGGACAAACTGTTCTTTTAACATGCATTCTGACTTTTAAAAAATATTGCAGTCCTTGACTACAAAAAAGTGATTTTGTGGAGTTTGTCCTCATGATAACTAGGCTCTGAGTCTGCTTTTGAAATGTGAGAGAAATGGAACTAACTCCATAAAGTGTGTCTGTCACATAAAGCTTTTAGGACAGCCTGATTCACACTATATCCTGCTCTTTGTTCAACTGACATTTCCAACTGCAGAATGAGGCACATATCTGGGGACTGCTATTATCTAAGCTAAATATGTACATTTTGGATCAGTTCTATTTTATTTGAACACTCACAATTTCTGTTTGGGGATCTTAAGCATGAAAGGATTGCAGTGATGTGCATTTTATTAACTATCCATCATTCTTTATACATGCACAAAGGTGCATAAACATACACATTTACTAGTCTCTCTGCTCTGCAAGAGTTCAGAAAATTCCATGCAAATTTTTTTCAAATAAAAGCAAATAAGGAACCAAACTACATACACATTACCATACAAGAAAATAGGAAAACAAACAAGGAGAAATAAAAGCAATAAATGAACAAAGTTTAACTTAATTTTTATTTGTAAATGAAAAATACCACGGCAGAAGTGGATTTTTTTTTTCAGTCATGTGATCCTTGAATTGCAAAACACTGATATCTACCAAAACACTGTTTTGTACCCTGCACGTTGTGTACTCACTCATAGATGAAAGCTCTTCCTTTTTCCCTGCTGGCACACATTTTTTCTCTCCAATGAGCTCCTACTTTCAATACGCAGATGTCTGAGAAATCAGGTTGCTTCCCAACAAAGGACACACAGTTAACATTTCTGCTGATAAACAATATTTGAATTCCCACCACAGGGTACAAACAGTCAGCTCAATAATGTTTAAAGACCTGGGATCTAGAGAGCATGATGGTGTTGCACAACTGGAGATGTGACGTTATCTGGCAATCTGAGCAGGGTCACACTGGTCATAGGAAAATACAAATTCTGTGTCAGGAATCACATTGATGCAGGTTTTCTCAACTTCACACAAGTGTTACGCAGTACAAAAAAGAATAAATTGTCAGAGCCATCTCCCACCTCATCACTATCCTCCATCCCTTCCTCCCCTATGCCATAATGGGCATGGGACATCCCTCAGAGCATGCCATTGCAGTCCCTCAAGTTCCTGTCCCCAGGTGACTAACTGGTGACAAGCTGTGTGTGACACAGGGCAGCACCCACGTCACACCAATGTGTTTGTAGGAGGCACAGCCAAGGGACACTTTCTTTTACCCCTTTAATACAATCCTCAGTCCTGTTGGTGTGACTCAACACCAGCAAGTGAAGGGAGGTGGCAGCCGCAGTCCAGTGGGGTTATTGTGCAGTTCCCCTCCATAGGTTGTGTCCCTGCCTGCCAAGTTATATTTCTACCACTTACGCAGCTGCTCTTCACTTTTACATGGAATGAGAACATGGCACCTGGGCATGGCAGTTCCTGACCTCAGATACTACAGATGCTGCAAGAGTAGCAGCTATTGTTCAGCTGTGGTTACTTGCCGAAGCTACTGGCTCTACTTTTTTTTTTTTTTTTTTTTTTTTTTTTTTTTTTTTTTTTTTTTTTTTTTTTTTTTTTTTTAATATTATGAGCTTCAAGAAAAATAGTACAGTAACTCTTACCAGTGAATTAGGTGCTGTGCCTGCTACAAGCCACATCAGACCAATAGCCTGTGTGTTTTGGGCTATGCAGCCAGCACCTAAGCTGATACATCTTTTCCCGACAACCAAAAATAGCTTGCAACACACAGGCAGAGACAGAAGATGGCATTTCTGTCATACAGGGCATACGTGCTCATTACATCTTCTGTTTCTGTGATGGTGATTTGTGAGGAACCAACCTGGCATATTGCCTCAGCCTGGGGAGCAAACTTCATTTCCTCAGCACAGGTGTTAAGCAGGCAGCTGTGCAAAACCAGACTTCTTTCTGAGATTGAATGCACTGTTCTTCCATATTCTCCTGAGGATGATTTACCTTGAGATTGTGCTAGACCGTGGGAATTCTCTCACCCCGATATTTACATCAACACCCATCACTCTTGTTTAGGGAACCAGAAAGAGTAACTGTGTTCTTTCATCAGTCTCTGGTTATGTTGCTTTAGAATCTTCTATCCTAAAAATCTCTTCTTGTCAGGCATGGTTATTCTTTGTATCCTCTGCTGAACTGGTATAGAGAATTTCTGCACACTGCAAAACAGGCAATGAATATTTCCGCCTGTGCCAAATTCAGTGGTCCTTATGGATATCATGTCAGTCAACTTGCAAAGAGCTTCAGGGTCTGTAGGTAACATGAGCTTAAACAATACCTGCCTGGATACATCTCCTTGCCTTTTTCTCCAAACATACCTGTGGGTCTGTCAAGAGAAGGTGCTAAGGGCATGAATCCAGAGAGGATTAGGACTGCTAGCCACTGCAGCATGTCCCTGCTGCCTGTGCCTTACTAAAGCACAAAAGTCTTGTGATTGGCATGTCCTCCACTTCACTGGGTTACATGACACATGCCAGAAAATGTGTCAACCCACTCCCCATCTCTTCAGCATTATTAGCCTGGGGAGGGAAACACAGCCAAAGAACACGCACACAGCTTTGACAGGTTCTGCCTAATCCACCCACATAATGACATTTCTTATGCTAAGTGCCAGAGCGGTGTAGGGAGGCCACTGTCTGTACCAGCTGCTGGCAAGTCAAAGTTAGTTTCATGGTTATGTTTAAGATATAGCCTGATGTTACGTTAAGAAGTCTTTGTCTCCTGTGGTGCAGGGCTCAGAGAATGACATCAAAAGCCTTCCAAATTCACCCCCCGGGTCATCTGATTATAGGCATGGCACAGAGCCATGCTGCCCCAGGAGACCATGACTCACAATGACATCCATGACTATCCTCTTATTCCGTGGAAGGAAGTAATGTGCCCAAAGTGCTCTGAGCATGAAACAACCAGGGGTAGATTACATCCTCCCTCGTGTCAGATTAGCCCTGCTGGCTGTTGGGACAGGCATGGGGGAGGCAAGAGCAGCCTCTGATTTCCCAGCCTCGCTCCTCCCCACCCTTACCTCAGGGAAGCTGTTTCTCCCCATGCTGGGACAGACCGTGTGAGCAAGCCACACGAGAGGGTTTTGTTCAGACAGGCAAGGAAGAGGACGCTCTGTCTCTCTTCTCCAATGTGGTGCAGCATTACATCACATAGTGAAACATCCGTCCCTCCTCCAATAGGCCAGGCGTATCTGATCATGAGGATGCTGTGTGTTCTCCATCCCTTGGCATTTATCCTTGTAATTAGTCTATCTGTTTCTGATTTATTTATTTTCAGGCAGTCTTCTGCACCCTTGCTCCCTCATTTGGGCACATGGGGCAAACCACAGACTTGCCCTTAAACTACACAGAAAAATAAAATCAGAAACAGACTAACCACAAGAATCAATAGCAAGGGGTAGAAAGCACATGATTGGATACTGGAGCTTCCTTCAGAGATCCATCTGCCTCAAAATGTGATGTAACTAGGCTCACATACCACATCTGCAAAAGGGGGTAACAGATTCGTCTTCGTAACCTGACTGGCAGGGTGAAACTATGCTGGCTCAGAGAAGCCAAGGCATATTCAAAAATCACTTCTAAGGAAGAAAAAGAAGTCCATTTTGTGTTCGAAGAGCTAAAGCAATCACTTTCAAGTCTGACGTTATTCCTGTTAGTGTTATTGTTGCTTCCTAGAATTTAGGCTTGAATTTGGCAGAAGTCAAGAAACCAAGGCATACACAGAATCATTTGTGAGAATCAGTGTGTCTGTGTGCATGGGCCAATTCTTTTCTGAATAAACACCAGACCCTGGGCTGCTGTGTAGTGTCGATATAAGATGGCAGTCAGACATGTAGGCTCAAACACATGAGGCAAGGTTATTTAGGGATGCAAGTTACCTTTTTTCCCTACAAATGAACACAACCAGAGAACGAACCACACCTCTCAGTGCCATTAAAATATTTGTGTTATATCCCATGGTGTTTCTTGTTTGTCTCCCAAAAGTAGCATCACTGCTTGGGAGAGAGGATCAAGACATTAATCTAAAATAGATGAGCAGTAAAAGAAATGAAGGACAGGCAGATGAGTATAAATATCTTCCTGCATATCCAGAATACAGAGGCTGTCTGAAAACCTTGTGATTAGAGTCAATACACTCCATGCAGTCACACAGCCAGTGTGCACTGCTGTCATTCCTATACTGAACAGCTCATTGGATACCCTGTGATTCTGCAGCCCTTCATCAGGTGAATGATGTGAAGTTGTTGTTCATGTGATAGATCAGACAGTACAGAAACCCTCCAGACAGAAAACTCTGCTTGCTTCTGACTAGGAAGAATAAATCTTTTCTTTTGGGATCCGCAGAAATACAGATGCAAAAGCAGGACGTGGGTAAATGAGAGAAGATAAGGTATTGCCCCTGCAAGCAGAACATCCTGTCTTCAAAAGGGTGAGTACTGCCAAACTTTCCAAATATTTCATTGCCCTCCAAATAGATCACAGGTCTGCCCCTCTTTCCTTTCCAGATACTTTCCAAAATTCTAAGTCATACTAGAGGCAGGCAGAAAGCAGAAGTTCATTTTGAAAAAAGAGACAAAAAAAAAAAAAAGTGAAAAAAAAAAAACCCTGAGCATGCCTTGATTTCTGTAGTCAACCTCCCAGACTCTGCCACAGAATTTTGTACGTCTCCATGAAGATGTGGCTGATTCTGGTTGATTATTAGCAGAACTTGAGGCAGCTGTATAAATAGCAGATTTGTACACCTACAGGTCTTCATTCATTTCCTCCAGTGAGGTTTTTAATTTGACTGGCAGCTAGCCTATCTGGGCAGCTGATAAGAGAAGAAGAAAGTCATGCTCCAGTCCTTGCATCGCCACTGCCTTTCCTCTGGTTCTCATCACAGAAGCATACAAAGAATTAAAGAGCTCTCAATACATTTATAGCCAAATATTTACCCTAAGCGAGGAAGATTATATTTACTTATTGTACCCATTGCCACACTGGCATGTGTTCAAGACTGTCTAATTCCTTGGAGTGCTATTGAATAGTTTAAAAAACCCTTTGTTTATAATAAACTGTTTGGCAATGAGTGCACATTCAGTGTTGTCCAGGGTATAGTAGCTCCAGAGCTCACACGCCTGGTGTTTGGGCATTTGGCATTGTCTCACTTCACAAACAGAGCACTGGGGACAGTTCTGGGATGCAGCCAATTTACCTTCATCTCTTGCAGAGTTATTAAGAGTATTTTGAAATTCTCTCAGGCATTTCATGAAGAGAAAAGATAATTAAACCATGGAAACATTCTTCAAGGAAATACAACTTCTTCTTAATCAGCTTGCTTTTTTGAGACCATAGTCATTTTGACAGCATTTTTAATGGAGACAAATTAAAATATTATTTACAGTAAATTATATTTAAATTATTGTTTCCTATAAAGTGAAAACATATAAGTAGTTCCTTGTTTTGTTTAATCTTGTTTTGAACTTTATATAGCATTCATATATTTAACATTTCTCCTACTAAATTGAATATTTTAATGTCATTATAACTTTCGGGCTTTCTGGTGTGAGAATGATTTGACACTTATGGAACATTTCCACCATGCCAAATATATTTTCTTGGAATTTTCAATCCCTGAAAACTTCACCACCTTCTCTTTTTCTCCAAGTGTTGGAATTTCCCATAGGATTCTGTTTACTGACCAGCTCTGCTAAAATTTCTTTCTCTATCAAAAAAAAGGGGGGGGAGGGTGTCACAAATGCACAACCGTAAACTGGTCAGGATGCAGTTCTTATTGTTGGCTCATATGTTGCCCTCTTTTGGTAGCTTTTGTATTGTACTACACATAAAATATTTAACAACTGCTGCAGCAACTCAATATCCAAAGGGGACTGTGTGCTGAATGTTAAAACTAAGTAAATGCATAAAGAGAGCAGCAGGTTGTGAGTTTGGCACGTAAAGATCTTATAGAGACATCCTGTTGGGAGAGGGAAAGCACTAGTGTATTAATAAAGCAGCACAACATAAAACTGGATTGTAAAGGTTAGTGAGAAAGAAGAAAAATGAGAAAGATCTGTACTCACTCATGTGAATAATTTAACCCTATATCCTGACTTCAATCCTCTGATGAGAAACCTGACTTTGAAAAATTTGTTCCATCCAGATTTGTAAAGGGAAGCTCTGCTCTAATCATCACTCATCTGGTCTTTCCCTGTTACTTATTTCATAATCTATGCAAGGGTTTTATTGAATTCTTGAGGGTATTGACTAGTAAAACCCAGAAAAGTGCCTGCTAATTTTCCAGGACTAAATCCCTACCAAAGTCAACACTTTCTTCACTAATTTATTTTTGAATGATGAAATTAAATCTGCAGTGATTTGCTAATACTAGCTATAAAATCATGTGATAGTTACAGCATTATAAGCACAGAGTCATTATTTAAGCAAAACACTGAAGTGTTAATTTTTTCCAGAAGAGAGGTTTTTCCCTACTATTTCTGACTAACATTTTTTAAAAGCCCCTTCTCAGTCTGTGCCAATGATTAAGAGTCTAAGGAGATGGGTATTCACCTCCTCTTGACTTTCCAAAAGAACTGAGTGCTAACTCCCCCGAAATACCATTCTTAGAGAACAAACTGCTCTCTTCTTCTGATAATTCTCAGTTATAAGCACAATAAATGGTTACACAGAAGAGATATTCCCACCATATCTGTGATTCCAGTTCAGCATTCCACAGCCCTATTCTTCAAAGATTCATTTTCTTTGGTTTGAAAACCAGCATCAGGAATTCAGCTTACAGGAACTGTTTTATGAACAGTCACAGAGATGATTTCAGAGCTCAGAAGGGAACTGTTCCTCCCACCTTGAATTGTGAAGGTTCTGTGGTAACTATAGGAATTCTTGGGATAGGGAAGAACTCTGAGCCTTCCAATGTAAAGACATACATTCTCTGATGCTTTATTCTAAAACCCCCAGCAATATGAACTCCTCTTGAAAGACCATCTGACAGCCTTCCCATTTTCACCTTAAAAAAATACACCCAAAAGGCATGATTTCACTGCCATCCTCTCTCTGTTATGTAATGTTGGCTGGTTTAAGACTTTGCAGACCTTTGTTCCATGCCTAAGAATGCAGAAGCCGAGCCTCATGGTAATAAATGACTGCCTGGTGATTTTGATGCAGCCAGTATGCACGTTTTGGTGGCCAAGGGCTCAGAGACTTTGATTGTGTTTCCTCACAGATCTAACCAAGGCCCTTCCTGCTCCAGACTAATGAAATGCTTTAACATGTGCACTGTTTAACCTGATATGTAGTTCCTTTGTTAAAGCCACCTAGCAGGGCTGTAAAGGGAGTTGTAAATCTGCAGCACAGCTCATACACTTTAAGCTAAGTTTATGCTTAATGAGATGTTTGGTTTGAGCCTGAGTCTTTCCCCCAAGTGTTTTTTCCAGCCTTTGAATCGTTGTGGGATTTCTTCCAACTACTTCCAGTCAGCCAGTGGCTGGCAATATTGAACACAGAGTTGAATGCAATAGCACAGATCTTTTACATAGGCACTCTTACCTCCCTGCTTCATGGTACATATCTGTATGTGCACAGCTTTTATAACTGTGCAAATTCGTATCTCTCTCCCATCTGGTCCTCTCTCCACTATACCTTGAAACTGTGTCAGAAGTACTGATGGCCAGGACACATGCATTCCAATGAATCCTGGGGCTTGTTTTGTTTGGTGAGGGGTTTTTTTTTTGTTTGCTTTTTGTTTTATTTTTGGGTTGGTTTTTTTTGTGGATTGTTTGGGTAATTTTGTGCTCAGCTTTCTAGTATCTCCCTTTCCTTTGATATCATTATCTGCTTTCTTCTGTTTGCATTCTTTCCTGCTTTAGTATCATCACCACATTTCACTATTTTGCTGTTTACCTCTACTTTGAGATTACCATACAGACACTAAATAGAACAATGTCTGTCAAAAGTCCTTGACATGACCTACAAGACATTTCCACAAGCTACAACAATTGATCATTGCTCTTTGTTTACATTCTTTCTCCCATTTTAGTCTACACAGCAGTGTTCTCCGCCAAAACAATTGAATTTCTTTTTCTCAACACGAATACCTGAAACAGTGTCAAATGACATATTCAGTGCTCCATATATGCACTCACCCACATTCCCACCATTCTGTGTGTCTCTCAGTTCACTCACTGAGGGTATTGCCTTGCTTGCTGAGTGCCAACTTGGAGGAACCTGGCCACAGCCTACAGCCTTGGTCCCCAAATCTGTAATACACAGAATTTATATGTTGCATATTAACATGAAAGACATGTTTAATATGTTTTAGTTTTTACAAGACCATACTACTTGCTGTTACTGATATTATTTGCCTCAGTGTTTCCTTGGGATTAGTTGGACTATTTAAGCTGTAAGAAATATACAGAACTTGGCCTAAAATATTAAAGACATTGTCCTTGATTTATGACCTTTGAGGTCAGAAACTACCATTAACTATCCTGTCTAACCTTTTCTGTCACAGACATTACCCCATTCCCTACATACAGAGCCCAAAATTTCTGCTTGGCTGACATGTGTTTTCCAGAGAGGGATTCAATTTTGATATGTACACAATTGCTTTCTTGGGCAGTGTGTTTCAGCAGTTCATCACACTTACTGCTACAAATCCAAGCCTCAACGCTTGCTTAAATTTACTTGGCTTATATTTCCACCCACTGATTCTTGTAATATATTCATCTGATGCAAGACACTTTTTTTCTTGTTGTGAAGGTAATTATACACTGTAATCCAGTCATCTCATTTTGGTAAGGGAAACAAAACGTACTTTCCAAACTGCAAGCAGTTCTTGTGCTTTTTCTCCCACCCTTTTTCAGATTTCTAGCACCCACTGTGCTGCAATACACCCCAGCCATATAAATCAACTCATATATCCCTGCTAACTTGTTCAAAGAGGGTGTTATTCCTTTTCCACACCATCAGATTTAGTCCTGTGTCCAATTGCTTCCCTGCAATGATCCCACAGGCTTTTCAAGCACCATCCCAGGGATATGATTTCTATTGCATCAATACAGACACCATTTATGCATGCTTTAAAATTCTTCTTTTCTGCAGAGGCCTTGCTTACCGAAATGGGCTGCTCCATCTTCACAATTTATTTATCATTCCACCAGTTTTAATTTTCTCCCTAATTTACTAAGCATAGTTTAACTAGGGATGTACTTGTCTCTCAACCATTAAGACAGTACTGGGGCCTGCCAAGTGTAACACCCATTTCTGCAAACTGACTCCAGAGCTTTCCTTCAGAGTTGACAGCTGCTTTTTGACACCTATCAGTTAGTCAGTTCTTAATCCACTCAGCAGTCACTCAATACCTGTTGTACAGTACTCATTTGTATTAAATGCTTAGACAGAAAAGGCAAACAAGTGCATTTGAATGCCGAAAAA